TCTCGGGCAACCGTGATAGCAAGGGTGGGACGGTCTGCTTGATCGTATATTTGAAAAACATGTTAATTTGCACAAAGCACAATTCGGGTTCAGGCCAGGGCTGTGCACTGAAACAGCAATTCTACGACTCAAGCATACCCTTCAATACTACGCTGCTCGGGGGACACCAATATATCTTGTTTCTCGGACTTGTCGAAGGCTTTTACCTTGTGTCGTACATAGAGATGAGCTTAACTGCTATATTCGCATAGCACGCTACATGCAACATTTTTATAGCGTGCTATTTAAAGTGCTAAAATTATAATTTTTAGCAGCTCAAGGTCGTGTGATAATGTAACAAATGGAAAGAAACGTGAAATAGTTAACGTACGCTTGACGTGAATTTGTTTAAGTATAGCATCTATGGTCTAATTATAAAATAGTTTACAGTTTTTTATGGTTAGTTACGACCGACTTCATTTGTTTTGTAATTATTACATATTATGGTGGTTACACGATAAATCAATGAGCTTCCCTTCATACTTTAACAATTTACAATTTGCACAAAACTTTACACTGGTTATTTACAGTAAATTACACTCGTAATAATGAATAATAACGCACACACTCGTACTTTTATATACAAATATTGCAACGACTTGTTAATTAAACAAACGCTAAACTAACTAAATAAATCCAAGTACTTAATTATATCTTAATCTAAATCGCTTCACCAGACGAAATTTTGCTAACGTTCCACCATTCGCTCAAAATCGTATTAAAACGTAACCAAAATTATAATTTATAACATAACTACAATTATAATACTTAGTGCTATATATAGCATTAGCGTTTAGCGTACCTACTCAAACGTAAAATTTAACATCAATAAACCAATCAGCTATAAATAATATGTGAAAGTATTTCACGTTATAATTGTTTCAACCAATGACAAGAGCCGCAATTTTCACATAAAATATAGTGCCATCTATGAAATATTAAGGGAGATAACTCAGGACGAAGAAGGATTTTGTTTGTTAGCTGCGTAAGTAAAGCACGGATAGATTTATGGTATGGCATTGAAATATTGTAAAATTATGTCGCTACATCTAGCGACATAATTTTACATTGCCATCGTATCTGTCATTCATTTTCATCATTTTCTTCACGTACTCCAATCCAAAGTGAAAAAAAGTTCGTTATAATTTTAGCACCTTTATGTCTTTCAAATTATAATTGCTATAATAATTTTTTAATTTAACGTTTTGAGCTATATATTATATTAACCATCTTTAGTCGTACAACGTTTTGTGGGATAAGCTGTTGAAGCGCGATACGAAATGTACGCAATGTGTCACATTAGCGACGTTTCGTTTGGTTTTTGGTTTTGGTTTTACCGTTGACAATTAGGGCGATTGGCCCCCAAATATGCGGAACGTGTCACATTTGTTAACGTTTCGTTTTTGTTTAGCTTTGGTTTTTGTCTTCATAATTAGCGCGATACGAAATGTACGCAACGTGTCACATTAGCGACGTTTCGTTTGGTTTTTGGTTTTGGTTTTACCGTTGACAATTAGCGCGATTGGCCCCCAGATTGGAGTGCGGGGTGAGGCAGGGCGGACTTACTTCTCCACGGCTCTTCAACTTATATGTAAATGCACTGATAGATGGGCTCAGCAGAGCCGGAGTTGGCTGCTCAATAGATGGGGAAAATTGTAAACAACATTAGCTACGCAGATGATATGGTCCTGCTGAGCCCGTCTGTCAGAGCCTTGGAGATCTTAATTGAAATCTGTGAGAGGCACGCGATGTCCCATGGCTTTAGGTATAATTGCAAAAAAGTGAACTACTCGTTTTTAAGTCGGGAAACAAAACGCCGAAGTCTGTTCCTCCAGTTAAGCTTGGAGGAACAGTTCTAAATAGAGTCACGAAGTTTAAATATCTTGGGCACTGGGTCAACGCGGACCTCTCTGACGACCTGGACATAGAGAGGGAGCGTAGGGCATTATCAGTGATAAGCATCATGCTGGCGCGCAGCATGTTGTAATGTAGAAGTCAAAACAACCTTGTTCAAGTCATGCTACCAAACGTTCTACATGTGCAACCTGTGGGCCAAGTGTACACACAGATCTTTGGATGCCCTACGAATACAATATAATAATGCGTTTAGGATGCTGCTGGGGTTACCCCGATTCTGCAGTGCATCAGGTATGTTTGCCGAGGCGCGCGTTGGTATTTTCCAGACTATCCTGCACAAACGGGTAGCTTCGGTGATGAGCGCGTGCACGTGCGCGTGCGAGCACCAGCGGTCTCCTGAATACCATTCTGGAGCGGGTAGATTGCCCGTTAGTAAGACACTGGAATGCGTGTCACATGCGTTCCGGAGTCGCCATATACTTATAATATTAAATAATTAATTAAATTTCATTGTTACTAACATAGAATAAGAAAATTGTTAGTAACAAAATATAAACATTAGTTTGAAATAAAAGATTATTATTATATTTATTATATATAATGTAGTTCAAATAGTCTCCCTATGAATGTTATACTAAATGTATGGGAGTGTTTAACGTTAAAATTTTGAATATTTCTAGTTTTATTTTTAAAAAGTTATTCATGTCGATTTACTCATTAGGTAACGTGCTTTTTATGTCAGTTTAAAGCATTTTGATATCTCTTATATTTATGGAATACTCGGCTGGGCACACTTAACGATTACACCCTGTATGTCCCATTATGCAGTTTATTTATCTCATATTGCACATGTACAGTCAACAGCACATCACATTGACGTATCTTGTTCCGTTGCACTGGAGGCGATTTTCGAACAAAAATGTGTAGTCTGATGTGCTGTTGTCCGTAAATATGAAAAACGTCTTACAATGAAATTTAGTATTGTACATAACCCAGTCAGGGTGTTACATATAAGCTTAAAAACGAAATCTATAAATTATTAATAAAATTTAATGAATAATTATTTTAAAATTAATTTGACTGACGTGAGCTTTCCGTGAATCTTTCCTTTATTTTTCACGCATAAACTCTTTTACCGAATAATATTATTTGTAAAAAGATATTGCTTCAATCTCTTTTTAAATGCATTAATGTTATGTTATATCTTGTCTAATAAATACTGGGATTTTATTGTAGATTATAATTGAACTATACAATGGAATTTTTTTAAACATTTCTAAGTTGGGTTCAGGGAGGATTAGATTATATTGACGGCGGGGATTTTTATTAAATTCAAAATATGTTGTTTGTTTACGGATAAACAATGCTACTTTCATGATATAAATACATGGAAGGGTTAGCATGTTCTCTTTAATAAAATGTGGTGTACAACTTTCCCGTTGACGGATATTTTGTATAATACGGAGACATTTTTTTTTTAAGAATGAACAGGTCATGCGCATGAGTAATTTGTCCCCATGGAATAATTCCGTAGCGCAACCATCCATACGCATACGCGTAGTATGCAGAGAAGGCACACTTTGCTTGTTAGCTTTTAGGACGCTAAGTACATAGATAAATTTGGAAATGTTTTTTCCAATTCTGTCTACATGAGCTTTTCCAGTTAAAATGCGAATCGATGGCTATGCCTAACATTTGTATATTGGGTACTTCTTGGATGATTTCATTGATTTGAACCATCGAGTACATAACCAGAAATAGAGACGAAATGTCATTTAACTTGTTTGAAAACTATTCTGCCATATGTGCCATATCATTACTGTGACAACTGTGCTCCGATTGGCCAGCCCGAATTCGAAACAATTGAGGGGTGTCGTCAACTGTTTCACTCCAAATCGACCAGTTAACTTGAGCTTTGCTATAATGGACGGAAATTGCAAAATTACATATTTAATATTTAATTACCGATGAAATCTGATTCCGTTTATTTTGTAATTAGATGTTTTGCTGTTTTTCCCACACTACCGAATAGAATAGCACGGCCTTGTTCCGAGATATTATCTTTATTACAATAAATACAGAATATTTTTTGGAATATACGGAGACGTACGCACAGGTCAATAGTTGGCCTGTCTATATTTCAGTACAAACGAGAGCTGATATTTATAAGAGCTGTATCGCTGTGTTACCAGGAATATATGGCCCTTATTTCGTCTCTATTTCTGGTTATATACTCGATGGTTTGAACTTTATTTAGATTTATTGGTGATTTTTGATAATTGTACTGTATGAGTTGAGTTTTATTATTGTTTATTTCAAGGTAGTGTTAAGCTAATGTAGTAGGTAATGTCGAAAATTATTATTGGATTATAATCGCATTTTTAGGGCATTTAAACAAGACAGAGACGTCATCATTAAAAAGAATATACACTTTATGGTTATTGTTTTTAGCAAGTCACTAATATACAGGGTTACAGGTTAAGTCGACGTAGATCCTTTAGGGGC